TCCTTATGCATTCGTTCACTTGAGACACTTCGTTGAGCCGAAAGTGTCTTTTGCGAATGTATGTGTGTGTGTATGTTCTGCGCGCGTGCCTCATTTGTTTGTTTTTGTTGAAGCGTGTGGATCAATTACGATGAGCCGTCAGGGAAATAATAAAGTGCACTTTTTTTTTTAATTTGATAAAACTGACAATAAATCGTTGTGCAACGTGTGTGGTGCAAAGTTATCTGGCAACCATGTTACAAATTTGCGGCGACATTTAAACACCAAACATAAAGAAACATTCGACTCGTACAATGAAGATATCTCAAACACCGCTGAGCAACAAAAGGGAAAAAAGAAAATAGCCTACGAGGCAAGTGAAGCGGGTATAATTGAATCGCTGGTAAAAATTGTTACCTCTGATGGCAGGCCATTTTTACTTTTAGACAGCGAAGGGTTTCGTGAAATTTTAAGCCCCATATATAATGCACTGAAAATGCCTACAATAACATCAAGAAATATAATGGATCATGTGCGAATGAGGGAGATATCCATAAGAGAAGATATAAAGGCTTCTGTTAAGCGGAAGCTCGTATCACTTAAAATAGATGTGGCAACCAGGATGGAAAAATCCATCTTGGGTATAAATTTACAGATGTTTAAATCCACACTGTCAAAAACGGAGATCGTCGTGAAAACGCTTGGGATGATCCCGCTGTTCGAGTCACATACTGGACTTTATTTAAAAAATAAAATTGTGGAGATTGTTCAGGAGTATGGTATTGAACTTGATCAGATTTTTAGGTAAGGGTTTATTCATTAAAATAATCATAAAAGCCAATAAATGTATTTTGTAATCAGCATTACATCCGACAATGGCAAAAACATGGTTAAGGCCATAGAACTGATAAATGATGATGCCACAGAGAAAAGTATAACCGATGATGACAAGGACGAAGATTTTATGGAATTGCTGGATTCCATGGCATTCCCAAACGTGCAACTTGTGAGATGCGCAGCGCATACACTACAATTGTGCGTGTACGACGTAAATAAACAAAGCGAGATCAGCCAAAAAATTTCTACTTGCCGTCAAATGTGCAAAGTTTTGCGGACCGGAAAATATAGGTACTGTGGGTTTTTGTGTTATCATACATACATATATGACAATAAATTTGACTTATGTAGACGTACCTTGATGGAGAACCAGAGGCACATTCCAACGCTTGATGTCACCACAAGATGGAACTCAACATACTTAATGCTAGAAAAACTATTCGAGCTAAAGGAGTTTGTTTCTACGCAAACTACTGTCGATCTTGACATTGACTGGGACTGGGTAGAGCTTTATATTGAAGCATTTAAAGACACATATAAAGCGACTCTAACACTGCAACAGGAGCAACTTGCTTACAGCGATTTTTTTATATTGTGGATGGAGCTTAAGCTTAAATGTGAAAAAAGCCAAAACTACATCACAAAAAAATTATTTGCACAATTCGAAATTCGCGAGAGTAAGTTGCTTCAAAACGAAGCCTTGTTATCAGCTATATACATGGACCCTCGAATTAATTTGATTTTATCCGACCAACAAAAAATGATAGCAAAACAAAATTTAAAAAAACTTGCGTTACGGGTGCTAATAATGTATTCATAATAACGTTTTTATTTATATTTTTATTAAGTCAGTTACGTCAGAGCCCGTGTCAACAAATGATGTTTCTTCCGCAACAAGCAGTATCGATGCTTCCGAGGAACGGTCACTTCTATCATCATATTTAGATGATATGCAACCAGTGTCTCAAGTCAAAGGAGAAGAAGTACCGGACAAATTGTCTAAAATTTACATGGAAATCGAAAATTTCAATGTTGTGTTTGGCCGTTTACCACTAAATAGTGATATCAAACAATTTTATCACGACAAAAAGTTTAAGTCGCCACAAATAAGTGAGCTGGCACAGGTGGTGTTAGCCACACCGGCAACTCAGGTGTCGGTAGAAAGGTCGTTCTCAGCCCTTAATTTTATTTTAAATGAGAAGCGGACCTCTTTAACTCCCGAAAATATCAATTCAATATTAGTTGTTAAGCTTAAATCTTAATTTAAGCGAAAAAAAAATATTTGAAATATGTATGCAGCTTTAATTTTTTGTTTTGTTATGAAGAATATGTGGAAGTATGGATATTAAATCTTTTAAGTTTATAAATTTGCCTATGATTTCGTATTTACATTCTCGTTCTTCGTTATCACTTACTCTTTCACGCTTTGCCTGCGAGGGAATATATAGTAGCAACAACAAATACCTAACGCAACTACAACAAAAAGACACTTCGTGCATGCAGCTGGCTCGATTTGCTCAGTGACTGATGCTCAGTTGTTGAGCGCCGAACGAAAGTCTCTCGCTCAGACGCCGCTCAGCACGAGACCGAAAACACGAGAGCAATAAAAATACGTGTTCTGTTCAGAGAGAGAGCACGTCGGTTTCATTTTTCTCTGTCTTTTCCGCGAGCAGACAGCATAAAAAAAATTGGTTGAGCATCTTTTTCGAGCTCTGTTTTATACCCGTACTCAAAAAAGAGTTAAGGGGTATATTAGATTTTTTCTCTATATAATTACAATATCAGCCACATGTTTTTATACCCGTACTCAAAAAAGAGTTAAGGGGTATATTAGATTTCTGGTAAAAGTCGATGTGTGTAACGAAGAGAAAAAAAAAGAAAGTATATATATTCAATAGACGAGTCGATATAGCCATGTCTCTCTGTCCGTCCGTCCGTCTGTCCGTCTTGATGAGCGCCTAGATCTCAGAGACTATAAGAGCTAGAGCAACCACATTTTGTTTCCAGACTCATGTAATATCACACTGCTACAAGTGTATTTCAAAATTTCGCCCCGCCATCTTCCGCCCCCATAAAGGACGAAAATCTGTGGCAGGCACAATTTTAAAGATACGATAAAACTAAGAACGCAGTATCGTAGAAAATGACCATATCTACCAGATTGCCGAATCTGAATCATATCGGATCATAATTATAGCCAGAATGAAGAAATTCATTTTCAGTTGCTTCCCCTGCCCACGCCTGCCAACGACAACGCAACTCATTTTCCTTCTCGCTCGCACACTCTGCCGCGTTCAGTGCGCGAGCAACCCCTAGCGGAGGAGATGTAGAATCTAAATGGTACATGTAGAATATACCTGTTAGATGTAGAATATACATAGTATATGTAGATGTAGAATATACATAGTATATGTAGATGTAGATAACAGATGTAGAAAAAAAATGTAAAATGTTTTTTTTTTTTTTAATTCTAAATAATTATAAGCTCTAAAATGTATGTGCTGACTGAGTACGGGTATAAGTAGAGTCGCGTTCCTTCTCGTTATACCCGTACTCAAAAAAGAGTTAAGGGGTATATTAGATTTGTGGTAAAAGTGGATGTGTGTAACGCAGAGAAGGAAACGTTTCCGACCCCATAAAGTATATATATTCTTGATCAGCATCAATAGCCGAGTCGATAGAGCCATGTCTGTCTGTCCGTCTGTCCGTCTGTCCGTCTGACCGTCTGTCCGTCTGTCTGTCTGTCCGTCTTGTTGGGCTCAGAGACTATAAGAGCTAGGGCAACCAAATTTGGTTTCCACACTCATGTGATATCACACTGCTACAAGTGTATTTCAAAATTTCGCCCCGCCCCCTTCCGCCCCCACAAAGGACGAAAATCTGTGGCAGGCACATTTTTAAAGATACGATAAAACTAAAAACGCAGTATCGTAGAGAATGCCCATACCTACCAGACTGCCGAATCTGAACCAGATCGGATCATAATTATAGCCAGAATGAAGAAATTAATTTTCAGTTGCTTCCCCTGTCCCCCCTCCCGACGACGACAACGAAACTCATTTTCCTTCTCGCTCGCACACTCTGCCGCGTTCAGTGCGCGAGCAACCCCTAGCGGAGGAGATGTAGAATCAAATGGAGCATGTACATTGTACAATCTACATGTTAGATGTAGAATATACATTGTAGATGTAGATGTAGATATCAGATGTAGCAAAAAAATGTAAAATGTAAAATTTTTTTTTTTCTAAAATTCTAAAAAATCATAAGATCAAAAATGTATATACTGACTGAGTACGGGTATAAGGTAGAGTCGCGTCCCCAGAAGCGACTCGCACGTTCCTTCTCGTTTTTTTTTTGGTTTCTTTTAGGTTGTATTTTTTTTTTACATTTGGCACTGTGTTTATTTGTTAATTTCGGCTGTGTATTTAACTCGGCCTTTGAAGATTTTTATTTTCATTCCCATGAATGAATTCTCTTATTTTGGTAAATATATTATCACAACACAGCCCACATTTTTTTCTCATTTAATTTGACATTTTTTTTTGTTTCTGTGTTTTTAACTTTACACAATGCACGAAAATTTATTTGTAGTTTCGGCGCGAACTCGAACCGTTGTCACGGTCGCCATGTAATTAGATATATTTTGATTGGTGTTCAGAGTGGGGACGACGCTGGCGGGGCAACCGCTCTGTGGGCATTCCAGCCACATCTCAGTGTTAGCACTCCAGCTACGCAAGCGGCTGCCCTCGCTTTCGCCCTCATACTTAAGAGCATTTTCCCCCGGCGACGCTCTCTTCATTCTTAAATTCACCACGGCACAGTGGGCGAAATGGCCATTCTAGCTCCATTTAATTCAAAATTTCATAGCAGAATCAATTAAATTTTTTGTGCGTTATCGATTCTCAATGCTTTAGTGAATATGAAAAAAAATTGCTGTTTTGTTTTGCTCTTATTAATCACGCAGCTGTGAGGTGTCAAGCAGAGCACATGGTGCATCAGCTGATGAAATCGACTTTTGGCGCGCTTTAGTGAAGCTGGCCAAAATTTTTACAAAAAGTAAACAAACAAAGTTTAACATAAATTTTTTGTGGATTATTTATTTATAAGCTTGAAGCTATTTATTAAAAATTAGTTTATGACGTTTGATAACATGTGTTAGTTTAAAATAGTCTACAAATCGACCTTTGGGAAATTCTGCTTCAGAACACGCATTGCAGTTTTTGGTGGAGTGCACCTTGGTACTTGAAAGCGCTTAAGTTTCAATTCCTTTTAATATACATTCTTTAAGGTATTGTAAATGCGAAATATTCAATTTGATCTGCCTATAGCTGCCTATAACAACAAAATTTCATTTTTAGGAAATGTCTATCCCTAGAAGACACATTTTTTCTGTTTGGTACAGCGAAAAGGTCGCTACCAAAAAGTGTGCTGCTGTTGAGAAATACGTTTTTTCCAATGTATTTAATAATAATAATTATTCTCAACTAGAATATAAAGCAGTAAATCAGAGGATTTACTCATTTGTAGCACAGTTGCAGCAAAAATGGAAAAGAGCTCATAGGACATTGGAAATTTTCGAGAAATATAACAAGGAGTGGTTAGATGCTGACTCCATATTTTATGTAGAACCGGAAAAAGCTGTACGTTCAGTTGGAAGACCGTCAAAAGAGTTTGAAGATTGTTCATTGAAAACTAAATTGAACAAAGCTAAATCTCTTGCAAACGAAGCAACCAATGAAGAACTCATGTTGGCGGCACGTGTGAGCTTGTACAAAGCTGGGAAGAGAAATGCTTCTAGAGCTGTATCATTGCTTAGTTCAGATGAAGAGGTCGTGGCAAAAACAATAAAATGTGAAAGCAGTGATCCCAAACTTCCTATTAAGTTCAGCCCTGAGGAAGCTTTGGCGATTTATATTGATGGGCGCTTCACAAAACATTCATATAAGCTAGTACAAGCAAAAACTAGATCTAACAATGCAAATGTTTTTCCAAGCTACGATTTGTTGAGAACAGCAAAACTAATGTGCTATCCGAAAGACGTAAAAGTTACTGACTCTTCAGCAGAAGTGCCTTTACAGTGCCTAGTTGACCACACCGTTTCAAGAATCGTGCAATCAAGCAAAATTATTTTCGAAAAAATGAACGAAACGGATAATATAATTACTGCCGTGCACAAATGGGGCTGTGACGGAAGTAGTGGCCATTCCATGTATCGTCAAGGCTACAGCGAGTTTGAAGAAAATAAAACCGATGAATATATGTTCACGATTTGTATTGTGCCCCTACAAACTAAACATGGGACCAATTGTAATATGGCAGAATTCACGTCCTTCCTCTACCAGATTTTGTAGACCAATAAAAATAGTGTGCGAAAAGAAACATCTTCCTTGGTGAAATTGGAAGTTGATAAAAATAAATAAACAAATATTAGAAATCCTTCCGACAACATTCCAAAATTTTCAAATCCAACATAAGTTTCACATGACAATGATTGATGGAAAAATATTTAGTGTCATTGCTGAGTCTTCCAACCAAACATGTGGTATTTGCGGTGCAACTCCCTCAGTAATGGAACAACCTGAAAAGTCGAACACCTGATACAAATTTGTATCAGTATGGACTCTCTACATTGCATGCGTGGATAAGATGCCTTGAATGTATCCTTCACATAGCTTATAGGCTTCCTTTTGAAAAATGGCAGATTCGAAAATCCGATAAGGATGCAGCTGAGCAGCACAAAAAACATATACAAAATCGTGTAAAGAAAGAAATGTCTTTATTGGTAGATATACCAATGCCTGGAGCCGGAAATACTAATAATGGAAACACAGCAAGAAGATTTTTCCAACAGCCAACATTAGCAAGCGAAATAACTGGTGTCGACGAAAATCTAATTCACAGATTTAGTGTGATACTCAGAACTATGGCATGTGGTTATAAAGTCAATACCGAGGTTTATCGGGTTTTTTGCTTTCAGACAGCTGAAATATTTGTTGAAAAATACCCATGGTTCTATATGCCATCCTCTGTTCACAAAATTTTATTGCATGGAGCGGATATAATTAATTGCGTTGGACTTCCTATTGGCATGATGTCTGAAGAAGCATTGGAGGCACGTAATAAAGATCTTCGGAACATAAGGCAGAATCACACCCGAAAGTCTTCACGAAAAAATACAATGGAAGATTTAGTGCATGCTCTCCTTTTTACATCTGACCCATTAATTTCGAACCTATCCAAATCATCGTCCAGGCTTTCCCGAAAAAATATAGAGTTGGATAAAGAGGTTAAAGATATGTTATTCGACGTCAACTTAGAAGAAGTTAATAGTTCCGATAGTTCGGATTCCGAATAATTATGTATATTTTGTATATTTTAAACTTTATTATTCGTATCTAAATAAATAAAAACAACATAAATCTTGAATATGTATAAGTTATACAATCATATGCTATGGAGTTATGATGCATAAAATCATCTTTACGATTTTATCACATATGTGAACATTTTTGACCGATCGGGCCTATAGCTGCCTTATGATATAGTTGACCGATTCGAATGAAATTTGGTAGAGACATTCGGCTAATAGCAATCGTCTTAAGTTCCAAATTTCATTGCGATATCTTTTAAGATACGCTTGTTATTAATTAAATGCCGCTAGAATGGCCATTTCGCCCACTGTGCACGGGCACGCTCCCGCCCACGATCACGCTTCCCGCTCTCGCTGCCGACAGCCCTCGGCAGCTTGAGCGCAACTTCCATCTACGTGCGCTCCCGCTCTCGCTCCCAGCAGCCCTCAGCAGCTTGAGCGTAACTTCAACATTCATTTTTTTTCCTTCATCCTAAGCGACACGGGTTACCTTTGCACGCGATTACATATACAACTAGTGAATAAAAATCCTACGAATAAACACTGAAGAAATTGGAACTGCCTATCGTCTTTATCTTTGGGAACTGATCCTGGGACTTCGCAACGCCTCTACGCTCAAATATTGGTCCTTCGAGCCGGATTTACTTTTTCCCCAAAAGCTTCTCCAGCCTTCGAGCACGGCATCGCCTTCACCAGGAAATCACAAGATAAGTACGCTTGCCTTCTTTACCATAAACCGCCTCCATTTCGCGGTTTGGGCTCCAGAGAAAATTCCGCGAGTTCAAAGTGCCGTGACCGAAGTACATATATATAGTCTTATATATGTACTCTCGCCATCTCCGTTATCCGTAGTGCTTCCAACTTCGACACCGCCATATTATCGGCAATTCCGGCCGTTCTCCGATACTTCACTTCGAATTACCAGTAATACGGTAGTTTTTCGTCGGTTTCTTGTGTCCGTCCATAACTCGCGGACAAATTATTTACCAAAATAATTAATTATTTAATACAATATATTAAATAAAAGTGTATTCCGCGCCTATGTATGTACGCACATTCCAGCCCATGAGAGCGGCTTGCGTACATACACACACACATACACTAATATTTCTTCAGTGCGTTCCATTCGCGGCCTTTATATATATATATATATATATATATATATATATATATATATATATATATTGGTACGATCCAAGTGCAAGTGAATTCACACACACCTACATTAATATACAGGTCTCCAAGAGCATTCCATCCGCGCCCTACCCTAATACAATATACACTGGCACACTCCAAGTGCAAGTGAACACACACACATACCAACATATACACATTACAACAGCAATAAAAGTATCCATCCAGCTACCTGTGTTTTCTTAATTAAATTTATTATTTATTTTATTTATTTATTTATTACATTTACTTGCATAGTTGGCTCCCAACTATACACATACATACACACATTCAACAAAAATACCAAACAATTAAATACCGCATTCCACCACTCCGCGCAAGTGCCATATTTGAAAATCCGCGATTAAGTGAAATTCGTGCCCTCCAGCCACTTTTCGCAAGGTCTCCAATTTCTCCCACATTCTCCAGGGTCCAAATTAATTACTCGCGACCAAGGCATGGCGCATTTTCCGTAATTATTTGGCAATTTACCTTACAAATTGGCAAATTGTGTTGCGTGTTTTGATATTTTTTTGTTCCGAGAGTGAGAGGTGGCCCAAAAACTATCGGCATCCGAACCCGGTGTTCATCCGAATAGAAAAAAAAATAAATTAGTTAAATAATTAAATACTCCGACCACGTCCAAGAAAAACCTCCAAGTCTTTTTTTTTTGGTTCACAAACAAAAAAAATATTTTTTTTTGTTTTGATAAAGAAATTATTGTTGTTCCGTTTCTGTGAGGTGTCCGTGCCTGCTTCCATTGCTTCCTTCCATCCGATAGTAACCCAGTTCCGCTCACGACTGCGTCAAGGGGTAAACGGAGGAGCATCTCTCACACTGGAGTAGCAATATTTGGAAATATTGACTGTGCGATGCTCCTCCGTTCCTCTCCTCAGCTCGGCTCAATATAGGGTCACTCATTGTTTGAGATTTCTCACCTACAGGTGATCTCAAACAATCCGAGTCGTTCCGATTATTGCCTTCCAGCTAGCTTGAGGCCTTTTGTCTGATAGTCCGTGTTTGGGTTACGGGTGTTTCCTGACGGTTCCGAGTCAACTCTACTCAGACCAGTCTGCAGTCCCTCACAGACTTCCAAAAAAAACGATTTTTTCTTGCGTGGGTCCTTTTAAATTATGCCAACAGGTCACAAGGACGGCAAACAACTTTTGCCTGTGACCTCGTCCAACCGGCTACGCACCTCGTCCGCCTCCGGAACTACTCCGACACAGCCAACCAAGGCATCCCTCACTCCGAGAGCAGCCAGTAGCAGCCCTGCTACAAGGACCAAATCGGTCCTATTCCCGTCTCCGGTGACCCTTAAGGTTCCATCGGTGACTAAACGGGATCCGAAAGGCTGCATCACTAGTCCCGTCAGCTCTCGCCACTTCACCACAATGGCTCAATCCGCCACCTCTGCCGCTCGGATCAAATTGGTAGCCGCCATTGGCCGACTATCCCACCTGGCAGAGCGTATCACTTCCGCCCCATCCGCCCCTCTGTCCGAGGTCCGCCGAGGCCAAATCCTCAGCATGTGGACGGACGTCGTGGCCGAATACAAGGCCTGTTCCGCGGTGATGGCTGACGAGGATCCAGAAATCCAAGCGGACATCCGAGAAACATATGGCGAATGCTATGGGGTATTTGAGCAGTGTCTCAGCGACCTTAATGCCCAGCTGGCCCCCTCCGCAGTCCTTCCTCCCGCACAGCCAGTCCAACAGGGCGGCTGTCGACTGCCTCCCGTCAATATTGAGGTTTTCTCAGGGGACTACGTCCGCTGGCCCACATTCCGGGATCTGTTCACCGTGGTCGTGATAAACAATCCAAAATTATATCCGGTATCCGGTATCCGAAGACCACGGGCGACCCAAAGGCCATTGTAGAAAAGTCCCCCCTCACGAATGACGGTTTCGAGTCCGCCTGGTTGGCTCTCCGCAGCCGATGTGAGAACAATCGGCTTCTGGTGACCAACCAAATTAACATTCTCCTCTTCTTGCCCCGCGTAACTTCCGAATGCAGTCGTGCTTTGAAGGAACTTCAAAGTACGATGCAGGGAGTCCTAAATGCGCTAGCGGTCTCCAAGGTTTGCACGGACAATTGGGATAGTCTGCTTGTAACTATCTGCGCTTCAAAATTGCCGAAGCTAAGCCGCGCCTTATGGGAAGCGTCCGTGACGAACAAGAAGGAAGTGCCGCCCTGGAAGGAAATCGACTCCTTCCTCACTCAGCGCTATTTGACGCTCGAAGCTATTGAGAGCGACCCTTCCACTTCCCGAGTGGCTACGAATCCGCCACCCTCCCAAGGCGCCCAGAATCCATCCACTTCTTGCAACCGATCCAATCCATTCCGGTCGCACGGCAGTTCGGTGCCGAACAAGGTTCTTTCTTTCAAGAACCAAGTGAACCAAGTGAACCAGTATCGTAGAGAATGCCCATACCTACCAGACTGCCGAATCTGAACCAGATCGGATCATAATTATAGCCAGAATGAAGAAATTAATTTTCAGTTGCTTCCCCTGTCCCCCCTCCCGACGACGACAACGAAACTCATTTTCCTTCTCGCTCGCACACTCTGCCGCGTTCAGTGCGCGAGCAACCCCTAGCGGAGGAGATGTAGAATCTAAATGGAGCATGTACATTGTACAATCTACATGTTAGATGTAGAATATACATTGTAGATGTAGATGTAGATATCAGATGTAGCAAAAAAATGTAAAATGTAAAATTTTTTTTTTCTAAAATTCTAAAAAATCATAAGATCAAAAATGTATATACTGACTGAGTACGGGTATAAGTAGAGTCGCGTCCCCAGAAGCGACTCGCACGTTCCTTCTCGTTTTTTTTTGGTTTCTTTTAGGTTGTATTTTTTTTTTACATTTGGCACTGTGTTTATTTGTTAATTCGGCCGGTGTATTTAACTCGGCCTTTGAAGATTTTTATTTTCATTCCCATGAATGAATTCTCTTATTTTGGTAAATATATTATCACAACACAGCCCACATTTTTTTCTCATTTAATTTGACATTTTTTTTTGTTTCTGTGTTTTTAACTTTACACAATGCACGAAAATTTATTTGTAGTTTCGGCGCGAACTCGAACCGTTGTCACGGTCGCCATGTAATTAGATATATTTTGATTGGTGTTCAGAGTGGGGGAGGCGCTGGCGGGGCAACCGCTCTGTGGGCATTCCAGCCACATCTCAGTGTTAGCACTCCAGCTACGCAAGCGGCTGCCCTCGCTTTCGCCCTCATACTTAAGAGCATTTTCCCCCCGGCGACGCTCTCTTCATTCTTAAATTCACCACGGGCACGCTCCCGCCCACGATCACGCTCCCGCTCTCGCTGCCGACAGCCCTCGGCAGCTTGAGCGCAACTTCCATCTACGTGCGCTCCCGCTCTCGCTCCCAGCAGCCCTCAGCAGCTTGAGCGTAACTTCAACATTCATTTTTTTTCCTTCATCCTAAGCGACACGGGTTACCTTTGCACGCGATTACATATACAACTAGTGAATAAAAACCCTACGAATAAACACTGAAGAAATTGGAACTGCCTATCGTCTTTATCTTTGGGAACTGATCCTGGGACTTCGCAACGCCTCTACGCTCAAATATTGGTCCTTCGAGCCGGATTTACTTTTTCCCCAAAAGCTTCTCCAGCCTTCGAGCACGGCATCGCCTTCACCAGGAAATCACAAGATAAGTACGCTTGCCTTCTTTACCATAAACCGCCTCCATTTCGCGGTTTGGGCTCCAGAGAAAATTCCGCGAGTTCAAAGTGCCGTGACCGAAGTACATATATATAGTCTTATATATGTACTCTCGCCATCTCCGTTATCCGTAGTGCTTCCAACTTCGACACCGCCATATTATCGGCAATTCCGGCCGTTCTCCGGTACTTCACTTCGAATTACCAGTAATACGGTAGTTTTTCGTCGGTTTCTTGTGTCCGTCCATAACTCGCGGACAAATTATTTACCAAAATAATTAATTATTTAATACAATATATTAAATAAAAGTGTATTCCGCGCCTATGTATGTACGCACATTCCAGCCCATGAGAGCGGCTTGCGTACATACACACACACATACACTAATATTTCTTCAGTGTGTTCCATCCGCGGCCTTTACTACCCCTATATATTATATATATATTGGTACGATCCAAGTGCAAGTGAATTCACACACACCTACATTGATATACAGGTCTCCAAGAGCATTCCATCCGCGCCCTACCCTAATACAATATACACTGGCACACTCCAAGTGCAAGTGAACACACACACATACCAACATATACACATTACAACAGCAATAAAAGTATCCATCCAGCTACCTGTGTTTTCTTAATTAAATTTATTATTTATTTTATTTATTTATTTATTACATTTACTTGCATAGTTGGCTCCCAACTATATACATACATACACACATTCAACAAAAATACCAAATAATTAAATACCGCATTCCACCACTCCGCGCAAGTGCCATATTTGAAAATCCGCGATTAAGTGAAATTCGTGCCCTCCAGCCACTTTTCGCAAGGTCTCCAATTTCTCCCACATTCTCCAGAGTCCAAATTAATTACTCGCGACCAAGGCACGGCGCATTTTCCGTAATTATTTGGCAATTTACCTTACAAATTGGCAAATTGTGTTGCGTGTTTTGATATTTTTTTTGTTCCGAGAGTGAGTGGTGGCCCAAAAACTATCGGCATCCGAACCCGGTGTTCATCCGAATAGGAAAAAAAAAAAATGAGTTAAATAATTAAATACTCCGACCACGTCCAAGAAAAACCTCCAAGTCTTTTTTTTTGTTCACAAACAAAAAAAAATATTTTTTTTGTTTTGACAAAGAAGTTATTGTTGTTCCGTTTCTGTGAGGTGTCCGTGCATGCTTCCATTGCTTCCTTCCATCCGATAGTAACCCAGTTCCGCTCACGACTGCGTCAAGGGGTAAACGGAGGAGACTCGCACGAGTACAATATTTCCAAATATTGCTACTCCAGTGTGACCGTTCCTCTCCTCAGCTCGGCTCAATATAGGGTCACTCATTGTTTGAGATTTCTCACCTACAGGTGACCTCAAACAATCCGAGTCGTTCCGATTATTGCCTTCCAGCTAGCTTGAGGCCTTTTGTCTGATAGTCCGTGTTTGGGTTACGGGTGTTTCCTGACGGTTCCGAGTCAACTCTATTCAGACCAGTCTGCAGTCCCTCACAGACTTCCAAAAAAACCGATTTTTTCTTGCGTGGGTCCTTTTAAATTATGCCAACAGGTCACAAGGACGGCAAACAACTTTTGCCTGTGACCTCGTCCAACCGGCTACGCACCTCGTCCGCCTCCGGAACTACTCCGACACAGCCAATCAAGGCATCCCTCACTCCGAGAGCAGCCAGTAGCAGCCCTGCTACAAGGACCAAATCGACCAAGTTGGTAGCCGCCATTGGCCGACTATCCCACCTGGCAGAGCGTATCACTTCCGCCCCATCCGCCCCTCTGTCCGAGGTCCGCCGAGGCCAAATCCTCAGCATGTGGACGGACGTCGAGGCCGAACACAAGGCCTGTTCCGCGGTGATGGCTGACGAGGATCCAGAAATCCAAGCGGACATCCGGGAAACATATGGCGAATGCTATGGGGTATTTGAGCAGTGTCTCAGCGACCTCAATGCCCAGCTGGCCCCCTCCGCAGTCCTTCCTCCCGCACAGCCAGTCCAACAGGGCGGCTGTCGACTGCCTCCCGTCAATATTGAGGTTTTCGCAGGGGACTACGTCCGCTGGCCCACATTCCGGGATCTGTTCACCGCGGTCGTGATAAACAATCCAAAATTATCTCCGGTAGAGAAGTTATACCGCCTCACCGAGAAGACCAGGGGCGACCCAAAGGCCATTGTAGAAAAGTCCCCCCTCACGAATGACGGTTTCGAGTCCGCCTGGTTGGCTCTCCGCAGCCGATATGAGAACAATCGGCTTCTGGTGACCAACCAAATTAACATTCTCCTCTTCTTGCCCCGCGTAACTTCCGAATGCAGTCGGGCTTTGAAGGAACTTCAAAGTACGATGCAGGGAGTCCTAAATGCGCTAGCGGTCTCCAACGTTTGCACGGACAATTGGGATAGTCTGCTTGTAACTATCTGCGCTTCAAAGTTGCCGAAGCTAAGCCGCGCCTTATGGGAAGCGTCCGTGACGGACAAGAAGGAAGTGCCGCCCTGGAAGGAAATCGACTCCTTCCTCACTCAGCGCTATTTGACGCTCGAAGCTATTGAGAGCGACCCTTCCACTTCCCGAGTGGCTACGAATCCGCCACCCTCCCAAGGCGGCCAGAATCCATCCACTTCTTGCAGCCGATCCAATCCATTCCGGTCGCACGGCAGTTCGGTGCCGAACAAGGTTCTTTCTTTCAAGAACCAAGTGAGTCCGAAGAAGAGGACGTGTGATCTCTGTTCCAAGGAGAATCACCCGATCCGACTATGTCCGCGCTTTCTCAACATGTCCGCTGATGCACGTTCCAATTGCATCAAGACAAAACAGCTGTGCCTAAATTGCTTCGCAAGAGGCCATCAGCTTCGCGACTGCTCAAGCAGCCACAATTGTTCCACTTGTGGAGCCAGGCATCACACGCTTCTGCATCGTTCCGCGCCTCCGTCCAACATGGCGGCTTCGACATCCGCCCAAACCCCCAGCTCGTCCGATTCTCAGCCCAACGTACAGAGCTATTTCTCTTCCAGCACAAGTACCGTTCTTCTGGGCACAGCACTCATTAATATTTGCCACCTGGGGACCAATTTCCGTGCCCGCGCTCTGATCGACTCAGGCTCCGAAGCGACGTTCATCACTGAACGCCTCTTTAACATCATTAAGCCACCGTTCGAAGCTATCCAGGCTCAAGTCGCGGGTTTAAACCAAACCGTAGCGGCTAAGGCGCAAAAGCGTTGCCACTTCATGATCGGGGCCGCCTCCAGGCCGGGCCTCAAGATCGAGACCACGGCATATGTTCTGCCTCAATTAGCAGGCAACCTTCCTTCATATCCGATACCGCAGCACTTCTTGGATAACCTTCCAAACCTCCAATTGGCAGACCCTTCCTTCCACCGAAGCTCGCAGATTGATGTGCTTCTAGGCGCTGACATCCTTCCTGCTATCCTGTTGAGCGGCTTCCAGTCTGCCATTTGTGGCTCGCTGCTGGGACAAGAGACCATCTTCGGATGGGTCCTATCCGGTCCGGTATCAGCTGACTCGGCTCGGACGGTTTCCGCCTTCACCACGAAGCTCTCGTTTAATTCGGATGTCCGACTCGAGAAGCTTCTCACCAAATTCTGGGAGGTGGAGGACCTTCCGGGGAGACCGACGAGCGAGTCCGATTCAGTGTGCGAGGAAAACTTCCTCCAGACCACTAAACGAACCCCCGATGGGAGATACGTGGTTACTCTCCCTTTCAAGTGTCCAGAAAAAGTCGAGCTAGGCCACTCCAGAAGCGCGGCCAAGGCCCAGTTCCTTAGAAACGAGCAGCGGCTGCAGCGGAACTTGCCGCTCAAGAAGCAGTACGACTCCGTCATTCAGGAATATTTAGAGCTCGGCCACATGACAGCGGTTACACCTAGTCATGATTCCGGCCATTTCTACCTGCCACATCACGCCTTGTTTAAACCCGACAGCACCACAACCAAATTGCGCGTAGTCTTCAACGCCTAAAGCCCGTCTTCCAACGGGAAAAGCCTCAACGACACGTTGCATGCTGGGCCAGTCCTTCAGTCTGACTTGACCATGCAAATCCTGAGGTGGCGCGTCTTTCGCTACGGTTTCGCGACCGTAACGGGGACGTGTGTGACTACGAGCTCACCACTGTCACTTTCGGAGTCAACTGCGCACCGTACCTCGCCCTCCGCGTCCTCAAGCAACTCGCACAAGAGGTGCGTCCACAGCTGCCGATGGCAAGCGTCATCCTGGAGAGCGACATGTACGTGGACGACGTGCTCGCTGGTGCTCACTCTCAGTCTCAGGCAATTTCCGCCATTGCTGAACTACGCGAAGCACTCGACTCTGCAGGGTTTCCGCTCCGAAAGTGGACAGCTAACCATAAGGGCGTCCTGCGCGACATTCCAGTCGACCACTTACTCCGCGCTGACTTCCTAGAGCTGGAAGAGAGTAGCATCGCTAAGACGTTGGGAATCCGATGGCAAGCCAGTGCCGACGAGTTCTTCTTTTCGCCTCCCGCTTTAAACGAGCGACAATCCTGCACGAAGCGCAATGTGCTGTCCCAGATCGCGCAGCTCTTTGATCCAGCGGGATGGCTTGCCCCCTTCGTCGTCCAAGCGAAAATATTTATGCAGGAGATTTGGTTGAGAGAGTTAGGATGGGATGACGTCCTTCCTAACGATCTGTCTCAAGCCTGGGAGACATTCCTGAAAAGCTTTCCGGCCATCCAAGGGATCCGCATTCCGCGGTGGTTACACGTCCGTCCGATGGCCAAGGTACAGATTCATGGGTTCTGCGACGCGTCTCAACGTGCCTATGGGGCAGGGCATTGTGTGTACCCTTCTCACAGCCAAAACCCGCGTTGCCCCCGTGAAAACAGTCTCGTTGCCTCGACTCGAGCTGTGCGGAGCTGTCCTTCTGACAGAACTCTCCGTGGCCATCCTTCCTCAAATGCCGCTCGACGCCAGCCAGGTGTACTTTTGGACCGATTCCACTATTGTGTTGGCCTGGTTGAACAGGCCGGCATGTGATTGGACCACTTTTGTAGGGAATCGAGTCGCCAAAATCACTCGCTGTTGGCCCCGCGAACGATGGAGCCACGTCCGATCCGAGGACAACCCGGCCGACCTCGCCAGTCGAGGGCTCGGACCCACTGAACTGGTCGGCAATGACATGTGGTGGCATGGCCCTGCGTGGCTGCGTGGTCCGCAGTCGGAGTGGCCTTGTCCACGAGGCTCAATCCTTGAGACCGACTTGGAGAAACGAGCCGTCAAGGTTCACCACGCCACTGACACCGCCTCGGACATTCTCAGCCGATTTTCCGAATTCGGACGCGCTCTGCGCGTGATCGCCTACGTTCGGCGGTTCGGCCAGCGCGTCAGAGGGCAAGCAACGCCAGTCCACGTATCCACAGAGCTAGACAATAAAGAGGTCGCTGCAGCTCTCCAAGCTGTCACCATCACGACCCAACGCTTCCATTATACGGCGGAGCATCGCTGTCTTGTAAACAAGCAGCCACTTCCGACTACGAGCTCTCTTCAGAACCTCAATCCGTTCCTGGACCAAAACGGAGTCATGCGGGCATGTGGCCGGGTCCGAGCCTCGGCATCCATGACCTACAATGAGCGGCATCCAATCCTGTTGCCACCCGCATGCCTCCTGGTTCGCCTGCTGGTTCGATTCACCCATCACGTATCCCTACATGGTGGGAACCAGCTGGTCATCCGCCTTCTCCGGGCAACATACTGGATCCCTCGACTACGTCACGTCGTGAGGGCAGTAATCCACTCCTGTAAGGTCTGCGTCATCCAACGCAAGCGACTCCAAACCCAATTAATGGGCGACCTTCCTTCCTCACGAGTTACATTTTCGCGGCCGTTCACATACACCGGAGTCGACTTCGCCGGGCCGTTCGACGTGAAAAGTTTCACAGGACGCGCCTGTCGCATCTCCAAGGGGTATGTGTGCGTTTTCGTTTGTTTTACCACGAAGGCCATCCATTTGGAGGCTATGTCCGACTTGTCCACCGACACTTTCCTAGCCGCCTTCGCCCGGTTCGTCGCGAGACGAGGCTGTCCCCACGAAGTCCACTCCGACAACGGGAGGAATTTTTCGGCGCATCCCGCTCTCTGGCTGTGGACCTTCTCGAGGCCCTCCGCACTCGGACCTCCGCGGTGTACAGCCAGCAGGGGCTCACGTGGCGATTCATCCCTCCAGGGGCCCCACATATGGGGGGCTTATGGGAAGCGGGTGTGAAGAGCTTCAAGGCTCTTTTCCAACGGTCGATGTGTACTTCCAAATACACATTAGAGGAGTTCGCGACCTTTCTCTCCAAGATTGAGGCATGCCTTAACTCGCGACCAATCGCTCCAATGTCTGAGGACCCAACGGACCCGTTGGCTTTGAGCCCAGGTCATTTTCTGATTGGTGGGCCGCTACTATCCGTGGCAGAGCCCGAAATTCAGGCGAGCGCCTCCTCCATCCTAAACCGCTGGCAACACCTCAAGGCTCTCAACCAGCAATTTTGTTCGCGCTGGAAGACAGAGTACCTGCGAGAGTTGCACAAGCGCAACAAATGGCAGCATCCGACAAGGGACCTCGAGGTTGGAGACCTCGTAGTGATCAAGGAGGAAAACATGCCCTCTCATGAATGGCGTCTCGGCCGTGTTCAGAGCACGAATCCGGGACCCGATGAAAAGGTTCGCGTGGTAGACTTACTCACCGCCCGCGGCCTTATCAAGCGACCGATCACGAAGGTGGTTCTGCTGCCTATGGATTCGGAAGTCCCTTCCACCTACCCTCGCGTAGGCTCCGATCCCTAAGAATCCGCTTAATCCAGCAATAGTATCCGTAGTTCCTAAGCAGTTCCGAAAGCTCCCTTTTCGAATCGTTGACAATCCGTGCCAACACTGTACTAATCCTTCCTTGACTCTTTTCTTCCATCACAGTCATCTTCCGGAGTATAGCCATGGCACCTAAACTTTCCGCGCAGTCCCGGGCAAGCCGCAAAGCCGATAACACACCGGCACAAGGTAGGAGTGCCTCGTTTAAGTGCCGAGTGTGCCCAGGAGTCCACCCGTTGAAGAGTTGCCGAACATTCCTGATCATGAGCGGCGAGAAGAGGCTACGAGCAGTGTTGTTGCATAAATACTGCTCGAACTGCCTGGCTCACGCCCACTCGGGCAAGGACTGCCGCAGTGGAGACAAGTGCAAGACGTGCGCTAAAAACCACCACACCCTGCTCCACCTTCCAGGACCGCTGCGCCCCGTCGGCTCCTCTTCGGCATCTACGTCTCCACCTACAACCTCCCGCGCAGAGCGACGCCCTTGTCGTCCGGTCAGCCGCCCTGTCCTCGGGGATCCGGCCCCGACAGTGCACTCCTTGCTCCAGCATCGGAGCATTAACGTCCTTCCGACGGCACGGGTGGTCCTCGCGGTGCAACAGAGGACGCACAGCATGGTCGCCCTCATCGATCCCTGTACGCCGGTCAGCTGCATAGACGCCGATGTGGCTCAGGAATTGAAGCTGCCAACCACCTGCATCGGGGATGAGAGAGTGTGCACCACCATAGTCCGGGCTAAGACGGAAGGACTCCAGTGGGAGGCCGTCTTCAAAATCGAGCCCCGTCTCCGCGTCCGCACCCCGATCCGTCCACTGAGTGACACTGTCCGGGCTCGCTTCGATGATCTGAAGCTGGCCAATACGGAGTTCCAAAAGCCGGCGACCATTTCGCTCGTCTTGGGAGCAGATGTATATCCGAAGGTCATCCAGCCGGGCTTCCTCGCCCGCGAAGACGGCCTCCCCGTGGCTCAAAGCACGGTGTTTGGGTGGATTGTGTCTGGTGCGTGTACGCAGACTTAAACACTCTTTGCAATCCTGCAAGGGGGGGAGAATGTTCAGAGTGGGGACGGCGCTGGCGGGGCAACCGCTCTGTGGGCATTCCAGCCACATCTCAGTGTTAGCACTCCAGCTACGCAAGCGGCTGCCCTCGCTTTCGCCCTCATACTTAAGAGCATTTTTCCCCCGGCGACGCTCTCTTCATTCTTAAATTCACCACGGGCACGCTCCCCCACGATCCGCTCCCGCTCTCGCTGCCGACAGCCCTCGGCAGCTTGAGCGCAACTTCCATCTACGTGCGCTCCCGCTCCCGCTCTCGCTCCCAGCAGCTTGAGCGTAACTTCAACATTCATTTTTTTTCCTTCATCCTAAGCGACACGGGTTACCTTTGCACGCGATTACATATACAACTAGTGAATAAAAACCCTACGAATAAACACTGAAGAAATTGGAACTGCCTATCGTCTTTATCTTGGGAACTTCGCAACGCCTCTACGCTCAAATAATTGGTAAATTTGAAGAATAATTAAGTATAATTTTATTGGTAAATGTGAAGACATCCGTCTTCGTTTAATTCCATTTCTTCAATGTTCTATCGATCTAGATCTTATGGTAGTTTAAGCTAAGGCCGCGCAGCTGCGCTGCCAGCAACGCCGGTAGCGGAGCGGCCGCATTTATATATTCGTTATATATATGCCCAGCGCTGCTGATAGCGGGGGGCGCGAGGGGAATCAGATGCGCGTGTACTTTATGTATCGTCAAGCTATGAGAATATGCTGACGATACATTTATGTCGCTCGAGGCACAACTTGGGTGATCGTATTATGTTTCACCCGAGCTATGTCTGGGACTTGTTTACGTAACTGCAACAAAGTGTGACAGTGAATATTCTTTAAGTATCGTTGGTACAGTGGATACCAACTATGTGCGCATACTACAGTGTACGTACTCTATGTTATATATTTTCTATTGTGTCATCTCGTCTCATCTACTACAAACACAAAATAAAACAAATAAACTAAAATAAAGCAAAAGTTTCTTTTTACGAGCGAAATGTGTGAAAAATAGAAGTGAATCTTTTGGGCGGATGGTGGGATGGTAATTAAGGGGTAATAAATCATAAAAAGGGGGGTGAGAATTGACCTAGTTACGTTAATGAGGGTGAAAGTTTACCTAATTAGGTAAAAAGGGTGGTGAGAGTTGACCTAGTTACGTTAATGAGGGTGAAATTGAGGGGTGTGAGCTCATGCGTGAGGGGTGGTTGAATTTGATTGGTCGGGTAGGTTGCACATGCGTACATTGCTGGTGGTGTTATAGGGGAGGGAGTGATCCTAGGAAGGATGAGTTCTCGTTAGCCGTAATGAAGTTGTATACACCCTCCCTACTCTCTGACACCTGTTAAAGTCGGGGGGTGGGAAGTGCGTGCGTTTGCGTCCAGCTCAGTCCGAGGTTAATTGTTAATTGTCTGTATTGTTAACTTCTACTACGCTGACGCTGATAGGCGTTCTCGACAAAGGCAGCGCGGAGGGGAAAATACCCAGAAGCCAGTGGAAGTGGGTGGAAGCGGCACTGGCCGACCGCTGCTTCGAGCTTCTAGAGAAGGATCCCGGGCCACCCCCAGTCTGCAAAGACATGGGATGGTTCCAGGGGAGCATCAAAGTGGTAGCCTGCGAGGATGAGCGCTCCGTAAAGCTATACAAAGCTGCGGTGGCGCAAATCGGTGAGGTCTACGCCGGGGCGAAGCTCGTCGCTGTGGACTGGAGCGAGGTGCCCAGTAGACCAAGGGCCCGTATATGGGTACCGGCCACTTTCAAGGAGCCCGAGCGGATCCTCACGATGTTGCAGAGATGCAACCCCACACTGCCAACCTCAGATTGGAGGGTGGTCAAAGTGGAGGCATCAAAGGGCCCCACAAATCAGGCGGTGGTTGTGCTGAACAAGGAATCGCTAGCCCCGATCGAGGCAGCCAGGGGAGAGCTTAACTTCGGGTTCAGCTCGGTGACCATGAAGGTCTATAAGTCGGATGCAGCGACCGAGGCGCGTTCTGTCAACAACCCAGTTGAGCAGGACGTTGCCTCGGAGATCGAGGCACCCGAAGTAGACCCGGAGCCGGCCCTGGAGAGCTACTCCTCGGAGACGGAGCTGATGCTCGATTTTGAGGAGTTGTGTCGGGACGAGATACTCGACGACTCTGACGCCGACATAACAGTGGTGGAGAACGATTCTAATGAAGTCTCTGAGGCTTCTGCAGATAAATCTCCACCACTGTAAAACAGCATCCGCTTCCCTGATACTCCGCTTAGTTCCAAGCGAAGGGGGACATAGTCCTAATCCAAGAGCCCTGGGTGGTAGGGAGGCAGGGTCTGTGGATTAGCGACGAAGGACTACAAGCTGATTGTAGCCCAAACTGAAGGTAAAATTAGAACCTGCATATTAGCAAGAAAGCACCTAAATATCTTTCTGCTCCACAATTTTAGCAATGGCGACAATACGGCGGCTAGCCTAGAACTACAAGGGACACGCCTGAACCTGGTGTCGTCCTACATGGCTCACGAGGAAAGCGATCCTCCCAGTGACCTCGTTCGCAAGATTGCCAGCGACAGCGAGAGGTCGGATACAAGCCTACTAATAGACTGCGATGCCAACGCTCATCACACCCAATGGGGGAGCTCGGATACAAATGTAAGGGGTGAGTCACTTTTCAGCTTCATCCTGAACTCCAACCTAATTATCGGTAATCGGGGTAATGACCCCACTTTTATCATAAAAAACCGTCAAGAGGTTATTGACCTCACTCTATTGTCTCACAAACTGTCAGACATAATGGAAAGTTGGAGAGTCCTAGAGGACCACTGCTTCTCCGACCACGGGTACATCGAGACAATCCTATCGCTCGAAAGCACCATACCCACTAGCTATATTAATCCAAATAAAGCCAACTGGGATATGTATAGTTCAAAAATGGAGGAATTACTCCCCCCCCCTAGCCCCAAAATGCCCGGACACACAAGACGATCTTAATCGTCTTGTGGACAATTTCACGGAAGCTTGCAACAAGGCCTTCATGGCAGCTTGCCCCCCAACCAAACCAAGAGGGAAAAAGAAACCCCCCTGGTGGTCTAAACATATAGATACCCTCCGGAAAGACTGCAGGACTCTCTTTAACAGAGCCAAAAGCAGCAGCGAGGAAGCGCATTGGGAAAATTACAAAAGTAAGCTAACCATATACAAAAAAGAAACAAGGAGAGCAAAAAGGGCCTCTTGGCACAAATTTTGCTCCGAAATTGAGGACACGTCAGAAGTCGCAAGGCTACTTCCTGTCAAAAACATCCCTCTCGGTGGGATACCTCAAGAGAACGGATGGTACGTGGACTAACTCTAGTGAGGACTCCCTACACATTCTACTCGATACTCATTTTCCTGGGTGTACGACCATCGAGCCGGCAGACACCCCAAGTGAAGGCCCAGAAACCTCGATGGGGCACATCCTCACAAAACGGAATATTAGCTGGGCAGTAAACAGCTTTAAATCCTACAAATCGCCTGGCCCGGACCAAGTCATTCCGGCTCAGTTGCAAAAAGCCGGGGACATGGTCATCAACTGGCTGCAAAGTATCTTCAGGAAGATACTGACAGTGGGAAAAATCCCCCGTGCTTGGCTAAAGGCTAAAATAGTCTTTATCCCCAAAGCAGGGAAACCCTCACACACAACCCCAAAAGACTTCAGACCAATAAGTCTATCGTCCTTTCTTCTCAAAACTTTTGAGAGACTAGTCGGGCTGCAGCTGAGGACAACTATAAATCCTCAGTGGCTGTCAGGCGCTCAACATGCCTACCGAAAAGGAAGATCCACGGAAACGGCACTCCATGAAGTAATCTCGGCGGTAGAGAAATCTCTACACGTCAACGAATACTCCTTAATCGCTTTCCTAGACATTGAGGGAGCGTTCATACCAGGAGCCATCACAGAGGCCCTGACTGACC